AACCCTGAACCCCAAACCCTAGAATTCTGACTCTTCTTGGCCCCGTCTCCTGGCCTCACTGCGGAGCCCGGTCGGGAGTCGAAGGCCGTTGAGGCCGCGGACTCCGGCCTTTGAAAGGACGCCCGAAGCTAGAAGAATAGAGTAGAAGATAACATAGCATAATGGAATTATTGTACCATAAAATGCAATATCATACTAGAAAATTAGAGTATAGTATAGTATAGAATAGTATAGTATAGTAAAGTTTAGTTTAGCACAGTATGATACAGTGTAGCATAGCACCGCATAGTATAGTATAGGGTCTAAGAGCTGTGACAATGATGACAGCGGAGCTCAAAGAAGTCTAAAGCCCTAAACCCCTAAACCCTAAAACCCTACAGCCTAAAACCCAAAACCCTAAAGCCCTCAACCCTTAAAAACCCGTCCAAGTGCTGTAGGAACTTCGGCCTGGGGATTTCCTCCACCTTCACGATATCACCTGCACAGCTGGACCACGAGGGTTTAGGGTTTAGGGTTTAGGGTTTAGGGCTTAGGGTTTAGGGTTTAGGGTTTAGGGTTTAGGGTTTAGGGTTTAGGGTTTAGGGTAACAGCCCGCAGCCCACGTTTCATGATCATCGCCGTGCCTAGCCGCTTCACTGGCTCGGTCGCTGGCGGCATCTGACACAGCTTTTTTACAAGGACTGCAGATGCTGCTCGCAGTCATGACCGAGCTCCAACACATCCGGTGTCCATGACATGACGTCAGCGCCCCACCTCCTCGATGTACTCCTCGATCTCACCAGCTCCGTTGTCATGAGCCATGAGCTCCCTATGAGCTGCATACCTGAATCAGGCTGCTCGGAGACTCGGTATGTGCACTAGAGATATGTCCAAGCAGAGTAGGGATGCTGTCTACAGGCATCAAGTAACAGAAAAAACCGTAAAAAGGGAAAGTCCTTCCGGTAGTCCATGACTCCAACTGTCTTCAGCCCAGATTCGAGAACTTGGATTTGATGTCGCCGTCAAGGAGCCAGGTCTGGCAACGTGAATTCACGAGCACCACGTTCAGGTCAAGCACTCGGGTGACTCGAGATGACGCAAAGAGTAAAATTAGCTTCACAGCCGTTCAATGAGCCCTCATGCAATCGACTGACTCGTTTTTGCTGGCGTGTTTTTGGATATGATGTCACCCGATATCAGACCTCCCTTCTCACAGGCCGTTAGAGCGTCGACCTAGGTCAATCCTCTTGTCCAGCCCCCGCCCCCCTCCGCTGTTCCCCTTGATTGAACGGCTTGCGGCTTGAGCTTCCGGGTTGAGGGGGTCGAGGGTTCAGGATTAGTTCCCCCGCGGCCCCGCGTAAAACGTTTGGGGGCAGGGTCGAGTATGCGAGCCCGGGTCCAGGGCGGCTGGCCAATCAGACCTGTGGGTGGCACATTCCTGGTGACTTTCGCAGAGCAGGCTAATTTCATATCTCAAAGCTGGCAATACTGGCTGGCACGAAGTCGTGAAGTGCATAACTGCCGGTTTTTTTGTGGATCAGGTTGAAGATGCGATTCAACGGAGCGGAAGTCACAACCCGAACCACGAGGAGGAGAACGAGGCGTTGGGTGCCAATGTCCTGATCGGGGTGACAGTCGGTGCTGGCACAGGAGAGAACCACCACACCGGAGCGAGGGAGCCATGCCAGAGACCAGTGGTACATGGCCAGCAGCAAGGGCAATGCCAACACCACCAGCGCCTTAACAATCACAACAAGCTTGACAATGCTACTAACAAGTAGCTGCGAATGACCTAAAAATCCATCCACAAGGACATTTTCACAGAATAACCATAGAACACAACACAGTGAGAGAGACACTTGGAGACCAAAGCACAGCCCCAAGAAAGAAAGCGAGAGACGAAGAAGCCAAACATCAGGTCGGGGGAGGGGGGGCTAGGGACCTCGGGCATGGATCACCTACCCGCACACCTGCTGTTGCCTACTGCAGGCATTCCAAGAGTCCCTGAAATGTGGATTTATGTGTCTCTCCTTCTACCCAAGACGAGTTTCACATGGTATTTTCAACCCTAAACCCTAAACCCTCACCTGGTATTTTCATCCAGTGCTCTTGCCTCCCCTGGGCTCTTGCACTGCTCCGCAGAGGCCGGGAAGCCGCCACGACACTCGACTTACTTACGATAAGGTTCACCTTGAGGGTTTAGAGGTTTAGGGGTTCAGGGGTTTAGGGTTTAGAGGTTTAGGGGTATAGGGGTGTAACAACTTACGATAAAGTTCACCTACCGACGTCGAGACTGAGACCATTGAAATCCTTCTCCTCGCTGGTCGCAGAGAATATGGCTGGAGTGGCACTCCGGTGAGGCGTCTGGTTTCTAGGCCCACGGAGGACGCTCCCCTCTCCTCTTTATCTTGTCATCCACATGCCCGATATCGCCTATAGTATGGACAGTGCTGATGTTCCCATGGATGCAAAACCTAAACCCTAAACCCGAAACCCTAAACCCGACACCGAGAAACCCTAAACCCTAAACCCAAAACCCTAAGAAAATGCCCCAGGCCTGCTTGTAGCTCTTCTCCCCGCTGCTTTGCTCCTCGTGCTCCACGGCATCCTGATGCTGCCTGACGGATTTCAGTATATAAATATGTGTATATATATATATATATATATAGATACATATATGTATGTGTATGTATATGTATATGTAGATGTATATGCATATGCATATGTATATGTATATGTTTATGTATATGTGTACTATATATATATATGTATATATATATATATGCACATACCTATGTAGAACGAACTGCCTGGGGCAGCCGCGGCACGGCCCTCTGTTTTCTAAACCGAGCAGCTCCAAGCACGCAAAGCTCTTGTGGCTTTCATGGAGTTGTACCTCCCCTGGAGTCTAAACCGTCTTCGTGTCCGAATCGGCAAGAATTTCACAATTTCGGGGTCGCGCTGACTCCTCGCTGGGTCAGATCTTCGCCGGCGGGAGCTCGACGATCTGATCCAAACCGAGATTTCACAACTTGTTGATGCAACGCAAGGAAGTGTGGACAAGCCATCTTCTGCCAACCACTTCAATGCTCACAAAACTAAGCATGAAATCATGCCATGAGTAGCCGCAGGAGCACCTGGATAACACCGAAGACCGTCACTGCGACTAGCTGCAGAGGCGACTGTCTGCTACTACCACAACCATTCTGAAGCACATGTCGGAGCCTGGCTCACTCCTGGATATGCCGGCAATCGCAGGGCATACTTCTCCACGATGGACGGTGGAACTGGGCGCTGTGCTACGGTGGCTGTGAAGCTTCTGATGGCAGGGTTTTTTGGAAATGAAGCATATTGGGCAGGCATCAGCAGCACCTGTGGACACGACTCGAACCTGACACTGTCTCGCCGGTCTGACCACTCACCCTCTTAGCGATGAGACTCCAGCCAAAACGGCCGCCCAGAAAGTGTCTGCCAGCAAAGTGTACGGCACACATCTTTGGAGCCGTCAGCGAAACGAGGACACCTGCGCAGGCCAGCAAGGCAAGGACTCCTGTCCGAAGGAAAGTGCATGGCAATGTCGTGGGATCCTCATACTGCCCAACTTACATCAATTTACCACAAGTAGTCATGCATCGGCATCAAGCATGGCACGGCTCGTTTTTTCTAGCACACTGAATGCGATTCCACGAGCGTTGACGTCCTCGAACTACTAGATGCACATCAGTCGCAAGCTGGCGAAGCAACACTGAACAAATGCAGCGCCCCGCACAATTTCACCAGCAGCTTGAGGACTAAGCCTAAGTATGCGCAGTTGGTCAAGCGGATCTCGCGAGGCTGCGCTGGGCCAGCCACCAAGAAGTTTCCAGAGGCGTTGATCAAGAAGTACACACTGCTTAGCACCTGAGAAGTCAGCATGTGACTGACCACATCCGATAAGGATCACGCAGCACTCCTTGGCATACAGCACGGTAACTGCGAAGCCTTGGAGTGGGTGTTTCGAAACTGAGCCGTGCACCACGATCTCTGGTAGAAGCTTCAGGGAGTTCAGTCCAACTCCAGCCTAGTTCATGGTTGGGGTAGTATTAAAAATTTGAATTTATATTCCTTATTGGGTTTAAATACCCTTAAAAATGTAAAATGTTACCCAACTATGACAGAGCAGCGTAGAAGCCGGCAAGTCGACCTAAGCACTCTGCTCTAAGGCGCACCCGGAGGTCTGCTGGAGTAAGGCCGCAACGCTCAGCATACAAGCTGCGGGCACCTTTGAAGTGCTCACCAGAGCCATGGAAAAGCTTCACAACGGTTTAGGGTTTAGGGTTTAGGGTTGAGGGTTTAGGGTATAGGGTTTAGGGTTTTACTCGACCCGAAGTTTCCGTAGCAGGATCCTCAGTCAGAAGGCCCCCCCAGATGTTGTGAAGGCGGACTGAGTCGCCGACACTCCCGCAGGGATGCCGGCGCATCGCAGCGCGGACCTCGCTGTGCACTTCGTTTGCTGTAAAGCTTTTGATAAGACGGCGACCAGCGACATTGGTTTCTGATCTTGCAGCTGTCCACACGCAACTTTGGATCTTGGGGCGAATTCGCATCCCGGCACAGTGTTACAACTGGAAGGAAACGCTTCAGCAGATGAAGTTTGGCTAAGCCCCCAACGAGCACATGTTTGCTGCCACCTCACAGCAAGCGAGCGCTACGCTTTTGTAGTGCAGTGCAGCATTTCCTGGTTACACACTCTCCATGCAAATTGCATAACTTCATCGAGGAATTTCGGCGTAGCTCCAAGGGACTCAAGGAAGCAGCCAGGTTACTTGGGAGTTTCCGAAAATAAGGGGTCCCTATTTTGGGTTCCTTATAATAAGGACCCTACTATTTGGGGTACTATATTAGGGTCCCCTATTTTCAGAAACCCCCGCTTAGCTTCAGCCTACTGGTCTCCCTTGTCACTCTCCCAACCGGCCTTCGGCGCAAAGTGTCCAGGGGATACGTGGCCTCCGCCACGGCAGACCGCTGTAGATCGAAAGATTACGCATCTGAGAGCAGAAATCCGGGAGCTCGGCCGTTTGAGCGACGAGGCCCGAAGCGGCCCCGACCACTAAGTTCCTGGCATTAAACGGATCTCTGAGATGCTGCAGTCGCGATTTCTCATGTAGCCGGGTCCACCAGGGGTACAAATGAGCTGGTGCGCCCGTCCGCACCAGCCAGAACAAATCCTCAGCTGTGACCATCCGAACAGCGCCAAGCCCAGAATGCATAGATGTCCAAAGCAAGAGAACCAACGTGCCTGACTAGCGCACCACACCTGTTCTGCACATTTCAGTCGTGCACCACACCTGTTCTGCCAAGGCTCCCCCGGCTGTGGTGCGTTGTGATCGATGCTTGGTCGGTGACCCATGCGCTTCATCAACCACGGGGCCAGAAGATCCTGGGAGGGCAAAGAGAAGTCCCCATTTAGGTTGCAGTTGCAACACACCCCACTTGGCCAGGGCTGAAACGAAGCTTCGGTAGCCGTGATCACCAAAATAGAAAACCTCAGCCCTTCAGCGAGAGAAGCCCAAACCTGTTATTGGCCTGGCCCGAAACAGCTGAGGCGGCGGCATGCAGGCCGGTTGCGATGCAGAGGAACGGAAAGGCCGTGAGGAGTCCCAACGGCAGGCCGCGGTAAAGGCTCAGCACCCCGTGCTCGCGCGCGGCTTCTCGGAAGAAGTGGAAAACACCCCGAAAGCGTCGCCTGCTGTCAGTGTCTGCTGCTAAGCAAGTGTAGGCGACATCCAGAGGGTACACGAGTGTCAGCGCGCCCGCACCCGACATAAATAAAAACGAACATCGGCGAACGTAGCCCTCAAGGCCCTGGTAGTGCCGGTCACCACCCGGCATAACCCACATCTGAGTGGTGCGAAGAGCACTCAGGCGAGCCACTCCACCCAAGCAAGTGGCGGTGACATGCGTCCCCGCTCCACGCCAGAGCCCGCGATAGCCCTCCCTCTGGAGAATGTCGCGGAAGTGCTGCAGTAGCCTGGCCCCGGGTTGCTCCCGAAGCTCCCGGAAGGAGGCGATTGTCGGAGCAGTGCCCACCTGCAGACAGACCTTCACGCGCTCGATCGGTGCCGAGGCCACTTTGGACAAGACTCGCGCGGAGCCGTGGGCGAATAGGGCCGCGAAGAAGAGGCGCCTATCTGCCGAGAGATGTCCGGGAAAGCCCTCGGACTCTGACATGCCGGCTCTTTGGCTGGCATCGTGCACAACGATTCACTGTTCCAAGTGGCACTGAGGTTGCAAAGCTAGCAGTGCTGAATCTATGGTCTATGATCTGACACTGCCACAAGCTGAGAGAAGACTGTACTTGAGCCGGCTTCTTCAAGACAGCGGGTTCTCCATAAATGCAGAAAGGCTCAGCAGCAGCGTGAGGGGCGCACTCGGCTGCAAGCAAATGCCCTGAGCAGGTGGGCCCTTCTCGACATCCCATCCGGAGGGAATGTCCACGGAGAGTACCTGATACAGAGCCCTGCTGTCCGTCTTAGTCTTATTCAGGCCCTGTGCTACAGATCTCAGTCAAATCAAGAAGCAAGTCATTGACAATTAATTGGGATCTGACTCTTCACTGAGCAACTGACTGGCGGAGCTCCCGGTGCTGTGAGTCTCCTGACAGGTGGGTCGTTTAGGCGCACGCCCGCTCTAGGAACATATTCAAAATTGGCTCGCTTCTTCACAGCCGTCATCCAGGGCAACAGATTGTGAAACCCTGTTGTGGCAAGAAGCCATCGCACCATCGAAGGCACAGCATGCCTCAGGACATCGTCGAACGGCGCTCGGACAGCGCCGCGGAAGGAGAAGCCAAACTGACGCGTGGATGAACTAGGGCTACTTAGGCTATTTGCAGGGCAGTGGATTGCATCAGATTGGGCGGCACAAATCGCATTCTCCAAAAGATGAATGAGGGAGTATGGCAAGTATGCTGGCCGTACAATAGCATCGACCACGCAGCAGTATCCCTCCAGGGACTCCGGGAGGGTTGCATCCACGGGCACCTGCCGGGATCAGCACTCCCCGACCCCCGGAAGCCAGCCAAGCCTACAACTGAGACAAGAGCTGTTGCCAAATTCTTGCGATTCCGAACACGCATGGTGCAAGCATGAGCCACCGACAGCTGCGACAGCTGTGTCACCAGATTGACCTTGCCAGTCTTCAGGGTTACTCGCACCCCTATCGGATATGTGTGTGTGTGTGTTTGGCCGTCGACACCCCAAAGCCAATGCAAACCCCCAGCCCGGTCTGCCTACCTTCCGCACAATTCCCCTAAACCCCACAACTGAGAATCTCCAGGTCTGTCATTAAGTTATATGACCTAACAATAGCACTAGTAACAATAAATTTCGTGAAAATACTAGTGATAATCGTAACCATATCTTGATGATAACAATAACAACAATTATGACTTATAACATGATGATAATGATCATCATAATAACAATATCAATAATGATAACAACAGTGATAGTTTACAGTACTACTAGTTTTGTTAGTATTATTATTACTATTTTTACTATGATGACTATTATTACTATTATTACTACTATTACTACTATTGTTACTAACACTACTGCTACTACTAGTACGGAAATAGTAAGAATATCTGCTATATAAACCTATAATTCTGAAGATGCCTATCGAGCGCCGGACGAAGAGCTGCTCCTTCTGATTCGGCTTGGGGTAAACCACGCGAGGGCTGTAGCCTCAGGGGAATACTCTCAGGGGGGTTTAGAATTTAGGGATTAACCCTAAAGCCTAAACAGGATGAAGCAAAAAACTACAGCACGATGGCTCTTGAGGCAGTTGCAGCTCCAGGGAATACTGTTTGCAGAACTCCTCTACTGAAGTCTGCTGGAGTTCATAGCAGCATTATGTGATGGTAAGGCAAATCCGATGTCTTCACTCGAGCGCTGAGCACTCTGCCGAAGTGGTGGAGATGTCTTGCAGCGACCAGACCATCCTTGGAGGTGCAGACAAGGCCAATGCTTCAAAGTGCTAGAAAGACCCATCTGCCAGAAGGTTTTAAAGGGCAGTTTGCAAGTTGAACGGAGGCCGGCATGCTGCATGGAACTGCACCAGCTGGCATGTCGCTTGATCTTGCTGAGGCGAAGCTGCAACAGCTTGTTGCTGTCAGGTGGCTCCTCCATTGTTGCCCGGCCCACAAACCAGCAACACCTGGGGCTTCTCCGGGTACCTTCGGACCAATCCCAGCCGATTCGTCATGCTCCCTATGGGCTAGCAACAAAGACTGCAGTTTTTTTTATGTAGCTGGTTGTCGTTGTGGCACAGGGCGGTGACGTGCTCATGTCGAGCAGACTGTCCACCGGAAGAGCGACGATGGACATGATCATCAAGACGAGGGTGAGAGCGACGCTGCGAACAGCGATAGAGAGGATGACCGCTGCGACGACAATGATGATGGCTATGGCGAAGATGACGACAGCAAACCTTTTAGAGTTAATGACTGCGATACTGACACAAGCGATGAAGATGATGGTTATGGGGCAGTCATGATTCGGACTGTGATTCGAGGATGGCCGTGGTGGTGATGATGACGACGCGGCGGAGGAGGAAGAGGAGGAGGGGGAGGAGGATGAGGATGTGGCGGCAGTCGTAGTTTGTGACCGGTGTTTGTTCGATGGGCGCTCCTGCCGATGTATGCAGCACGGTGCACTTGTCAAGAGGAAAGGCGGCGGCCACTGCACAGGCGACAGAAAGTCCTCTCAAAAAGACGGTCACGCTTCAGATTCAGAGCACTGAATAACAGCACGAGGAAAGATCTGCACGACTTGCAACTACAGCAAATGGACAGCCGAGCCCGCATCAAGCTAGGTATAGCTTGCGCCTTACCTGCCCCAACCTTGCTCGCAGCGAAAGCCAGCTTTCCTTCCTTGAGCACACCTTCTTTTGCTGAGCTTACAGTTGCGGCTACATCTGGGCTGCGACTGCCAGCGACTTCCAAATCCGTTCCGCTGCTCTAGCGATTGCCGAATAGAATCTGCAGCGAAGATATTCGCCAGAACGAGCCATTCCGCAGAGGCCACATGTACAGGCCTTGAACTCTGCCACACAAAGCGCTGGTCAGAGAGGGTGGCTCGTCTCAAGTCCAGCAGGGAAAGGGGCCTGAGAGCCAAAGTTTCAGCCCAGGAAAGGGCTTGGCTGGTCTCCACTGCCTGGCAGAGGGCTTCACGCTGTCGGAAGGAGTCCAGACCAAGCTCACGGCTCTCTAGAAAAACCTCGAGGCCCTGTTGCCACGCCCAGCTCCTCTTGCAGACCTCCAAAAGGGAGTTCAACATCTCCTTGCTTGGACCCACGCCCATTCCCTGCATCTCCGAGAGAACTTCCAGAGCTGTCTCCCAGGACTGGCTCACGGCACAAGCGGCGGACGCAGCACCGTAGGTCACCAAAGTGCGGTCACAGCAAAAGTGTGAAAAGCGGCTGAACAAGAGCAACGTCGCCTGCCACTGCTGCCCCTTCTCACAGGCACTCATCGCGACGTTTAAGGAGGATGAACGAACCTGTAAAGCTCTAGAAAGGCTTTCCAGCAAACAAAGTGCCTGCTCCCATAAACCTCGTCGCTCGCAGGCATGAATAGCCGCATTGTAGCTTATCACATTCGGATTCGGGCGGCTTGGAGTGCGGCCTGAATCTGCCTCCCGCAGGTAAGCCAGCAGCCAGAGAGACCACTGCCACCGGGAGGCTCTCGCGCACGTTGTTATTGCAGAGTTGTAAACGGCTGCGTCCAGTTCCAAGTTGCTGCCTTCCTCCGCATCTCGAAGAAGGGCTAGAGAGTCTTGCCAAAGATGACGAGAAGCCAAAACACTCATCAGTGCTGAGTAGATCCCAGGGCTTCTGTCGATCTTGGCCGCCGGCAAGCCTCAGTCACTTTCCGGACTGCAGCTCCTTTGTTTGAAGGATTCAAGGGTTCTCTAGATGAGAGCCCCTCTTAAGTCCCCTAGAAGGGACACCTGACTTAGAGAACTACCCACTAGTCCTTCTCGTTTTGGGCTACAAGGCTTTGTAGTAGGATGCCCTGAACCCTAAACCCTAAA